GATTGGTGACTAAGTAGTTTTGGCAGATAGTGATTTGTAGTTTTAGTGGACTGTTGGTTCAGTAGTTAGGTAGATTAGACACTTGATGGCTTGGTGACTGGAAAGTTTGGTAGATTCGCGATTAGGTAGTCTAGTGGATTGGTTTGGTGATATGAAATCTGTCTCATGTTCCTGCTTTTGCCTTTGATTATTAAACTCGTGTTTCTCTCTCTCTCTCTCTCTTCTCTTCTACACTCACACTCTCTTCTCTAACACTCTCTCTCTCTCTCTCTCTCTCTCTCTTCTCTCTCTCCTCTCTCTCTCTCTCTCTCTCCTCTCTCTCTCTCGTCTCTCATGTGGGACGTCGATCAAGTGGCTGTCTATTAGTGTTTTTGTCTGTTTCACTTCTTTATCTGTTTGTCTTTACTTTTCAGTCTAGCCATTTGTCATTGTCTTTTCGATATATATTTGTTTTGTGTCTATTCCTCTCGCGCCTTCCCTCTTTTCCTCTCTTTCGGTTCTGAAGAGCGTCCTTGAGATACTGGTTGATATGAGTTATGATTTGTTTATATTTTTATTTGTGTTTAGCAATGTCTATTTATAGATTGTACGTCACTGTGACCGTTTCGGATATATTATTATAAGAGTTGTAATGTCTGTTTATAAATTTTACGTCACCATCAACACTTGAAATATTGTTTGTACTTTTGAGGAGACCTTTACGATAGGGAATGTAATATGGAGATAATAATTAGAAAATCCAATCAGTTACCTTTGAAATGAACTCCAACCTTTCGTACAAGAAAGCTAATCTATCTGGACCTTATCTGATCCATAGAATACTAATCTAATCTTAGCCACTAACAAACTAAGCAACCACTTCACCTGTAAAAAAAATCATGACCCACTTTAACCTGCTCCAGGTGGGCATCAACTACCAGCCACCAACAGTCGTGCCCGGCGGTGACCTGGCCAAGGTCGCTCGCGCCGTGTGCATGCTTTCGAACACCACCGCCATCGCCGAGGCCTGGGCGCGCCTCGACCACAAGTTCGACCTCATGTATGCCAAGAGGGCGTTCGTGCACTGGTACGTGGGCGAGGGCATGGAGGAGGGCGAGTTCTCCGAGGCCCGCGAGGACTTGGCTGCCCTGGAGAAGGACTACGAGGAGGTGGCCATTGACAGTCTCCTGGAAGGCGAGGAGGAAGGCGGAGACGAGATGTAGAGAGGCGGAGTGAGAAGACGGGAATAAACGTAAAAAAAGGAGAATAATAATGAAATAAAAGTAAAAATCAAGTGAATTCGAGGAAGAAATCGGTGGATTGCACTGTTCTTCCCTCCTCCCCCCATTTTTTATTTTTTTATTTTTTCCATGTCTTATTGTTTTATTTATATTTCTTTTTATCCTTCACTATATGAATCTCTTGCGTAATCCAATTCAGTCGACCTCTTATATTTATGGCTGCTGTTATCACTTCTCTACACAAAATAATATATGTTTGAATGTATCAATAAGTTTCACCAAATTCTTTTAAATTCAATTATTCTTTTTAATTTTATCACTTTCAACCAACCTCCTACGTGGGGGGAGGGGAGAATGATAAATAAGAAAAAAAAAGTGAAAAAAATCAAGAATTGTGAAATAAAAAAGGAACCAGCTTTGCGCATGCCACTTACAACGACCATGTCTTTTAAAATGGAGTATTCTCACTCCTGTATTTTCATTTTTTCCTCGTGTCCTTTCTCTCTCTCTCCTATACAGTAAAAAACAAAAAACGAAAAGTGACATTAAGAGATTTAAAAAAAAGTCCAACAAGCGACACAAAAAAGTATTTAGATGATATCAAAATACAAGCTTACGGTATAAGCTCCTCCCCTTCAGACAGTGTTTTGTTTTCGAATCTCTGCGTGTGTGTTTTTTTTTTTGAAAATGGTCTTGGTTTTCATTTACCAATTACTAAGTTCCAATCTGTCTATCCAAACAATGCTTAGATCGATGTTTTGCTACTTTTTGTAAAAGTGAAAAGGGAAAAGGCTCACCAACAAACGCCAATAAATGCACTAAAGCACGAATTTGCGTTTTATTTCAAAGATCCACAGAAAGAAGAAAAAAAATAATACTATTATCTAATTATAACAATTGATGGTTAAATGTGTGATGTCACTTCTACACGCATTATATACTTTATAACTTTTATGATATAATATTATATTATTAGTATCTATATGATATCTATAATAAATTAACGTACAATACTATAGATTACGTGAATTATCTATCTCTTATGTATAAGTATGGCTATTATATTATTTAATCGGTTGTACGAAATGTTATATACTTATATATTTAATATATTTTATATATAATAAGTATTCATAATATATGGAATATATGTCTATCTAATCTACTAATGTGTGTAATATATATAATATATAAAGTTTATAATTATACTAAATTAGAAAGAACATATATATAACGTACACAATATAATAATAGTACGAAAATAATGCTATATGAATAAG